CCAATCCTCCAATTTGTCTAAGTCATTCTGTACCCTATCTCTGCCCTTAAGCGTATCTACCTCTCCCCCCAGCTTAGTGTCATCCGCAAACTTGCTGAGGGTACAATCCATCCCCTCATCCAGATCATTAATAAAGATATTGAACAAAACCGGTCCTAGAAACGAACCTTGGGGCACACCGCTAGAAACCGACCGCCATCCTGACATCGAGCCATTGATCCCTACCTGCTGGGCCCGGCCTTCTAGCCATCTTTCTATCCATCTTACCGTCCATTTATCCAATCCACAATCCCTTAACTTGCTGGCAAGAATATTGTGGGAGACCGTATCAAAAGCCTTGCTAAAGTCAAGGTATATCACATCCACTGACTTTCCCACATCCACAGAGCCAGTTACCTCATCATAGAAGCTAATCACATTGGTCAGGCACGACTTTCCCTTTGTGAATCCATGCTGACTATTCCTAATCACTTTCCTCTCTTCCAAGTGCCTCAGCATGGATTCCTTAAGGATCCCTTCCATGATTTTTCCAGGTACCGAGGTAAGACTTACCGGTCTATAGTTCCCTGGATCGTCCTTCTTCCCTTTTTTGAAGATGGGCACTACATTTGCCTTTTTCCAATCATCCGGGATTTCTCCCGACCTCCATGACTTTTCAAAGATAGTGGCCAAAGGCTCCTCAATGACATTTGCCAACTCCCTCAGTATCCTCGGATGGATTAAGTCCGGACCCATGGATTTGTGTATGTTTAGCTTTTCTAAATAGTTCCTAACCTGTTCTTTACTCCCCAAGGGCTGTCCATCTTCATCCCATATTGTGTCACTTAGCGCATTAGTCCGGGAGCCCACCTTATCCGTGAAGACAAAGGCAAAGAAAGCATTGAGTACTTCAGCTTTCCCCACATCATCTGTCACCAGGTTACCTCCTTCATGCATTAGGGGCCGCACACCATCTCTGATCACCTTCTTCTTGTTAACATGCCTGTAGAAACCTTTCTTGTTATCCTTCACATCCTTAGCCAGTCGCAATTCCATTTGCGCTTTCGCCTTTCTGATAACCCCCCGGCATTCTCGAGCTATACATTTAAATTCCTCCCTTGTCATTTGTCCAAGTTTCCACTTTTTGTAAGCTTCCTTTTTGTGCTTAAGTTCTCCAAGGATTTCCCCTGTAAGCCAATCTGGTCTCCTCCCATGTTTGCCTCTCTTGCTACGCGTCAGGATGGTTTCTTTCTGTGCCTTCAATAAGGTTTCTTTAAAATACTGCCAGCTGTGCAGGACTCCTTTCCCCTTCATGTTAGCATCCCAGGGGATTCTGCCCATCAGGGCTCTGAGGGAGTCAAAAACCTGAGTCAGGCTCCCTGCCTGCTCCACTCCCTGCTTGGCGCTCAGAAAAGCAGGCTGCAGGGCAGTGTGTGTGAATGGTGAGAGCCTGGGGGAAGAGGGAAGAGCCATTTTAGTCCTGGAAATTGCAACAATTGACATTTAAGCAACTTTCACTGAAAGAGCGCTAGACAATTTATAGGGCACGTGCCTGATGTTTGGAAACATTGAGCAGACCTTTCGGCACACAATAGGCTGCCCATCATGCAGCTCCAGCTACCCTCACTGTCCATGGCACCTCACTGACTGCCTTCACAACTAACCTCTTATGTGCCCACTAGCAATTAATGTGTGCAAGGATCACCACTTGTACATGCATTCACCATAACTGTGCATGCAAAGTGTGTCTTTTATTGAAATTCAGGGCCTTTAACAACACTGGAACCTGTCTAATGATTGGAAAGCCCATTACAAATGTCTGAATTTTTTTGTATGGCATGAAATGAACAAACACTATGAAATACATTCTGCATCCTGAAATGGACTTTTCTCCATGTGTTATTGACAGCTTTAAATAATAGCAGATCATTATGTACTAAGAAAATGCAGCATATTTGTAAAAGTGATGTCTTGGCAATGAGAGATCTCACTGCACCAGGCTGCCCTTATGAAACAGTTTTTGAGTACTGAGGAAAATGAGCAATTTGTGGCTATTGCCACAGTAAGAAACATGGACTAGCAAGGGGTAGTCTGTGGCTAGGACTATAACAGGGTTTTAAAGAGAACTAGATACATTCATGGAGGTTAAGTCCATTAATGGCTATTAGCAAGTATGGATAAGGAACGGTGTCCCTACCTTCTGTTTGTCAGAGGGTGGAGATGGATGGCAGGAAAGAGATGGCTTGATCATTACCTGTTTCGTTCACTCCCTCTGGGACACCTGGCATTGGCCACTGTTGGCAGACAGGATACTGGGTTGGACGGCGGACCTATGGTTTGACCCAGTACAGCCATTCTTATGTTCTACTCTGTACTGACAGGGACCAGTTTACGCACTGTAAAAAGGAAGAGGAGTCCAGTGGAAGCGGAAAGACGAACCGATTTATTTGGGCCTAAGCTTTTTTCGGCAAAGACCCACTTTGCCAGTTTTTAAGATGCCACAGGACTCCTCTTTCTTTCTGCGGCTACAGACCAACACGGCTACCCCTCTGTGACGTTATCCCCTGTGGAGATGCCGTCATTGTGAGGTAAGATGCCATCCACACAAAAATACCATGTGGCGGTTGTGACAGGTTTGACGCACAGAGGGCCCCTGAGGGTTGTCCCCTTGTGTGTGATCATGCCTCTGACACACCCCTTCCTGCTCTCTGGGGCTCCCCACCACCCTGCCCTGCTGGGCCAGATCCTCTGGTCTCCCCCAGCCAAGACAGGGGGTTTGGGGTTACTGCCCCCTTGCAAAGCAACAGACACACTGAACCACTTCAACTCCAGGAGGGCTCTGTTCTAAGGGCTCAGCACCCAGAAAACAGCCCCCCCCTCATGCCTCTGACACACCCCTTCCTGCTCTCTGGGGCTCCCCACCACCCTGCCCTGCTGGGCCAGATCCTCTGGTCTCCCCCAGCCAAGACAGGGGGTTTGGGGTTACTGCCCCCTTGCAAAGCAACAGACACACTGAACCACTTCAACTCCAGGAGGGCTCTGTTCTAAGGGCTCAGCACCCAGAAAACAGCCCCCCCCCAGCCAAGACAGGGGGTTTGGGGTTACTGCCCCCTTGCAAAGCAACAGACACACTGAACCACTTCAACTCCAGGAGGGCTCTGTTCTAAGGGCTCAGCACCCAGAAAACACCCCCCCCCCCTTCCCCGCAACGGGCCCATGACCAGGCTTGGCTTAGCTT